AGACCTTCACGGCTGACCTTACTCAGTGGTTTAATGCTTTAGACCTTCACGGCTGACCTTACTCGTTGGTTTAATGCTTTAGACCTTCACGGCTGACCTTACTCAGTGGTTTAATGCTTCAGACCTTCACGGCTGACCTTACTCAGTGGTTTTTAAAATGCTTTAGACCTCATGATAGACCTAGGTTGGTACATAGTGTCAAGTTTAAAGCTTTAGACCTCTTGGCCGGCCTTAATTGGGCATATTGTACGTGTGCGGTTGAATGTTTTAGATGTCACAGCAGACCTGGGTCTGTTGAGTTCTGTGGTTTATTTACCTTCAGAGCGTAGTCCTTTCCTGTTGCTATATCTTGTGCCACAAACACAAAGGCAAACCCACCTGTAAAACAAGAAGCAATGTTTTGACCTTTAAAATGCAATGACTTGAAAATTATGACAAGTACTTTGGGAAGCGCAATTTGATCACAATAGGCATCATCATCCTGTAAATTTCTACACGACTAGTACTTATGTGTGTGTTAATGTTGATATTCTTTCAAGTTCTACTGACTATAAACATTATGCGATACCAAATGAAAAATTAGGAAACATAACATGGTGTTATAATATGAAGGAAGATGGTATGTTTACCATCCCAGGTTAAGACTTAATTATCTCAAAACTTTATAAGACATATCCTTTACCAAATCATGATCAACATCTCTGACAGACAGTTGATAAATCTGATTAGAATCATTGATGCATGATCGGGGATACCAACACAGGTTGAGGTATTGATCATGATCCTGCAGTTGTACACATGTTCCACTGTTACTTACAATTCTATGTTTATTACCACATTGTGCACCTAGATTTTGTGACAACGTGAATATTGATTTACCAGTACGGGACTGCTTTATGTGCTCCTCACTGCTCACATTGATTTTCTTGTCAAGGGCACGTAAACTTCAGCCTAACCTAGCTATACCAGAGAAAGATATATCCCAGAGAACAGAATACAACTTCTGGTAATTGTCTTCATTAGGTGCTGGTCAAGTCCAATACTACTCAATATCGTCCATGTGACCATGGCCAATAGAAATGTCAGCTTCATTAGGCGCTGGTCAAGTCCAATACTACTCAATATCGTCCATGTGACCATGGCCAATAGAAATGTCAGCTTCATTAGATGCTGGTCAAGTCCAATACTCCTCAATATCGTCTATGTCACCATGGCCAAAAGAAAAGTCGGCTTCATTAGGTGCTGGTCAAGTCCAATACTCCTCAATATCGTCTATGTCACCATGGCCAAAAGAAATGACGGCTTCATTAGGTGCTGGTCAAGTCCAATACTACTCAATCTCGTCTATGTCACCATGGCCAATAGAAATGTCGGCTTCATTAGGTGCTGGGCAAGTCCAATACTACTCAATATCGTCTATGTAACCATGGCCAATAGAAATGTCAGCTTCATTAGATGCTGGTCAAGTCCAATACTACTCAATATCGTCCATGTGACCATGGCCAATAGAAATGTCAGCTTCATTAGGTGCTGGCTAAGTCCAATATATACTACTCAATATCGTCTATGTCTCCATGGCCAATAGAAATGTCAGCTTCATTAGATGCTGGTCAAGTCCAATACTACTCAATATCGTCCATGTGACCATGGCCAATAGAAATGTCAGCTTCATTAGATGCTGGTCAAGTCCAATACTTCTCAATATCGTCTATGTCACCATGGCCAATAGTAATGTCAGCTTCATTAGGTGCTGGTTAAGTCCAATATATACTACTCAATATCGTCTATGTCTCCATGGCCAATAGAAATGTCAGCTTCATTAGGAGCTGGTTAAGTCCAATATATACTACTCAATATCGTCTATGTCACCATGGCCAATAGAAATGTCAGCTTCATTAGGTGCTGGTTAAGTCCAATATATACTACTCAATATCGTCTATGTCACCATGGCCAATAGAAATGTCAGCTTCATTAGGTGCTGGTCAAGTCCAATACTACTCAATATCGTCTATGTCACCATGGCCAATAGAAATGTCAGCTTCATTAGGTGCTGGTCAAGTCCAATACTACTCAATATCGTCTATGTCACCATGGCCAATAGAAATGTCAGCTTCATTAGGTGCTGGTCAAGTCCAATACTACTCAATATCGTCTATGTCACCATGGCCAATAGAAATGTCAGCTTCATTAGGTGCTGGTCAAGTCCAATACTACTCAATATCGTCTATGTCACCATGGCCAATAGAAATGTCAGCTTCATTAGGTGCTGGTCAAGTCCAATACTACTCAATATCGTCTATGTCACCATGGCCAATAGAAATGTCAGCTTCATTAGGTGCTGGTCAAGTCCAATACTACTCAATATCGTCTATGTCACCATGGCCAATAGAAATGTCAGCTTCATTAGGTGCTGGTCAAGTCCAATACTACTCAATATCGTCTATGTCACCATGGCCAATAGAAATGTCAGCTTCATTAGGTGCTGGTCAAGTCCAATACTACTCAATATCGTCTATGTCACCATGGCCAATAGAAATGTCAGCTTCATTAGGTGCTGGTCAAGTCCAATACTACTCAATATCGTCTATGTCACCATGGCCAATAGAAATGTCAGCTTCATTAGGTGCTGGTCAAGTCCAATACTACTCAATATCGTCTATGTCACCATGGCCAATAGAAATGTCAGCTTCATTAGGTGCTGGTCAAGTCCAATACTACTCAATATCGTCTATGTCACCATGGCCAATAGAAATGTCAGCTTCATTAGGTGCTGGTCAAGTCCAATACTACTCAATATCGTCTATGTCACCATGGCCAATAGAAATGTCAGCTTCATTAGGTGCTGGTCAAGTCCAATACTACTCAATATCGTCTATGTCACCATGGCCAATAGAAATGTCAGCTTCATTAGGTGCTGGTCAAGTCCAATACTACTCAATATCGTCTATGTCACCATGGCCAATAGAAATGTCAGCTTCATTAGGTGCTGGTCAAGTCCAATACTACTCAATATCGTCTATGTCACCATGGCCAATAGAAATGTCAGCTTCATTAGGTGCTGGTCAAGTCCAATACTACTCAATATCGTCTATGTCACCATGGCCAATAGAAATGTCAGCTTCATTAGGTGCTGGTCAAGTCCAATACTACTCAATATCGTCTATGTCACCATGGCCAATAGAAATGTCAGCTTCATTAGGTGCTGGTCAAGTCCAATACTACTCAATATCGTCTATGTCACCATGGCCAATAGAAATGTCAGCTTCATTAGGTGCTGGTCAAGTCCAATACTACTCAATATCGTCTATGTCACCATGGCCAATAGAAATGTCAGCTTCATTAGGTGCTGGTCAAGTCCAATACTACTCAATATCGTCTATGTCACCATGGCCAATAGAAATGTCAGCTTCATTAGGTGCTGGTCAAGTCCAATACTACTCAATATCGTCTATGTCACCATGGCCAATAGAAATGTCAGCTTCATTAGGTGCTGGTCAAGTCCAATACTACTCAATATCGTCTATGTCACCATGGCCAATAGAAATGTCAGCTTCATTAGGTGCTGGTCAAGTCCAATACTACTCAATATCGTCTATGTCACCATGGCCAATAGAAATGTCAGCTTCATTAGGTGCTGGTCAAGTCCAATACTACTCAATATCGTCTATGTCACCATGGCCAATAGAAATGTCAGCTTCATTAGGTGCTGGTCAAGTCCAATACTACTCAATATCGTCTATGTCACCATGGCCAATAGAAATGTCAGCTTCATTAGGTGCTGGTCAAGTCCAATACTACTCAATATCGTCTATGTCACCATGGCCAATAGAAATGTCAGCTTCATTAGGTGCTGGTCAAGTCCAATACTACTCAATATCGTCTATGTCACCATGGCCAATAGAAATGTCAGCTTCATTAGGTGCTGGTCAAGTCCAATACTACTCAATATCGTCTATGTCACCATGGCCAATAGAAATGTCAGCTTCATTAGGTGCTGGTCAAGTCCAATACTACTCAATATCGTCTATGTCACCATGGCCAATAGAAATGTCAGCTTCATTAGGTGCTGGTCAAGTCCAATACTACTCAATATCGTCTATGTCACCATGGCCAATAGAAATGTCAGCTTCATTAGGTGCTGGTCAAGTCCAATACTACTCAATATCGTCTATGTCACCATGGCCAATAGAAATGTCAGCTTCATTAGGTGCTGGTCAAGTCCAATACTACTCAATATCGTCTATGTCACCATGGCCAATAGAAATGTCAGCTTCATTAGGTGCTGGTCAAGTCCAATACTACTCAATATCGTCTATGTCACCATGGCCAATAGAAATGTCAGCTTCATTAGGTGCTGGTCAAGTCCAATACTACTCAATATCGTCTATGTTACCATGGCCAAAAGAAAGGTCAGACAATGTTAATTCCTTTTCTATAGAACTGATACTGGAAGTTTAAGACCAGAAAGCCACACTTGATTACTGTAAGTTCAGCAGGCCCTCATTACATCATAATTAATGCATATCTGATACTTGGGAACTCTTCAGAATTTTGTTAAAAAGTCTTCATTTTATCCTTATCCTATATTTTCATCTTACTTGTAACAAGTTTTCTTCTTTTAAATGGATCTCCTTGTCTACAGATATTGTATGGACCATGATTACAGGTTTATTTATTAATGTTTAAAGATACAGTCATGATAATACTATCAATTCAATTAAATCTAAATATCAAACTGAGGAGAAGAATCTAGATCTGGAATAAACACATTTACTGATACTCATATGACACTCACATATAAAAATATAGGAACTGTTATTGATATCACTTTCATTTGTCGTTATATAGACGATGTACAAATTAAATGTAGTTACAGTAATGAAGAACTTTACATTGTTCTCAAACATTATTTTGAAAGGATTGCTTCAATATCATTAGTTGTATAATTGATGTTAATTACAAAAATATGATAAAGCAGTAACTAATCTGCATACAAGATCAACTTACAACAACACAGGGTAATTAACATAATTCCACCGGTTCATTATTATCATGGTCATACATATTTTATCTTTTGTGTACTACTTTTGTAGTTCGCATGCAGACTCTGAAAATATCTTCACACAGTGACACACAGCTTATTTTTCCAAATGTAAAACATTGCATTTTTTTCCACATAAATCATTTCAAAATTTCTCATTTAAATGAATAAACCAGACAATAACAGGTCACCATGTGTTGGACCATTAAGGCATTTATTTCCCCCATATTCATACAACAGAAGCTCAAGTAACCATTTTGAATTTTGAAGTAATGGTAATGCGATATTGCACAGGTTTGTAATTTGACAAAAAACAATTTCCATCAAGAATGAACAAAATGAGACCAGTAGGACAGAAGTTTCAACCTGAAGACTTCTGTGTCAATCAGAACGCATGGCAGCCAAACATTGAACCTAATTGAAACAGTTGGGATACGTGTACACCAAACAAGTTTGATCAAAATCTAATCATTCTGTCGAAAGATATTGCAGGGTTTAGCAAACAACCTAGCTACCGGAATGCTGAAGCCTTATTTATTAACTGTTAAGAATTTGCTTTAATAACAATAACATATAACAATACTTGATTATTCCCTCATGACATAAGATGTACAGAAAAAGAAACACTAGTGCCCCAATATATAAAAAGAAAATGAGCTCATCCAGAAACGAAAGCACATGGATGAGTTGGATTGAGTTTATTACCTATATATAAATATTAGTGCATGACGCCATGAGTGTTTCTTTTTACAACCCATTGGTTATCAACTTTAATCCCATTTTACTTCCGTAATCGTCGGTATCGACGGAGGAAGTCAATCAGATAAAGATGAAGAAACAGCAGTCATGATAGGTGCCTATATTCCATCAAATCTAGAGTCTAGATTAACTTTTAAACTTTTACACATATTTTCACCATGCAGTAAAACTGTTACCTTATCCATCAAATCAACAAGACGAAGTAATACATTTCAAAACTGTCAGTTTTCCAGAAAACAAGAACTAAGAAAGTCATATTAAGGCTTATATCCAGTGGGATCACTGAGGTAAATCCAGACAGAGCCTATAAATTCGGATACATTTAATACTTGCATTTAATCTCGATTTCAATCAGGTAGAATAAACACCCTCCAGGTAAACAATTGGCCTTTGACCTAACTATGTCATATCTACTAGATTGACGATGAGTAGCAAAAAATCAATCTTATGATCAATTTTGAAAATAAACCTTACTTCACATAGATATGAATCAAGGCAACTATTCTGTTATGTTATGATTGAATTCTCTGTTTGTTTGTTTTTGTCTATTTGTTACGTTCACTGATCATAAGTCTGATCCTTTCCCACCAGTAAGCCTGCTAACTAATTTTATGTCGGATTGAGGTCGAACAACATTCACAATTAAATGCTTTTATCAATACAATTCGTAAGAAGTAACATATAGTGTCAACTTAACAGCTGGAGCATGAAAAGTTAGCTTCAGGCGAAATTATATCAATCAACGAACGGGGTTCACTGAAGTGGTCCCCTGTCGTCTGACAGGTGGGGAGGAACCAAGGACGTTACCTTCTGCGATCACACGCCTCACTCGTAGTTTCTGGTCTCCCAGTTCAACTTGTTGACCAACAAAATCATTGTCAGTTCCTCCAGTACCGCTGCCACTGATATAACCCAACGCAGACTTGAAAAAGTCTGCCATCTCGAAGAAATCACGCTCCTATGTTTTCTACAATCATCCCTGCATTGACTTCCATGTATTGTAGTCGATCGTCGATGACGTCAAATTCAGTCTGCTCTACGGCATGTCGAAAATTAACATCGACATGTCGAACATTATATAGTTTACCAAATTGATTTCATACAATAGCAGAACACATATCAACATAAATTTATGTTTTAATAGTTCGCATTGGAGGTTGTTGTAAAAACAGACTTTTACGACATCTTAGCTGAGAGCGCGGGAAATTTTAAATTCCCCTACTGAACTCTATATATACAGTGTCTTTTCTCGAGTACTCTGTTCAGCGTATGTATCAGTGCAGGTTGTTAAAAGGTTTCATAATGGTGCTTCAGTGCTGGGATAAATATGGTTATTTCCTTATTTGACAGTGATGTAAAAAGAAAAAAATACAAATGTGAAATTAAAAGAAAGATCGTTTAAGTGCAGCTAAAAGCAGAACAGAACTTGTTATGGTCTAGGAAAGCTGCAAATCTTTTATTAAAATCAGAGACACATGATGCATATTATTTAAGTATCTTTTAAAATAAATACTCTTATGAATTACTGAAAACGACCATAAAGTTTAATTACCTAGTACTGAACATGTTTTTGACTACTCAGTTGATTAACCCTGATATGCTTATTTTGTTTAATTTTACACATATAGATCTATAGGCCTATACAAATGTAGCAGTGTCATTATTTAATGACAGTAATATCTTTTACCTGTAAGGCTGGTTATTTTTAAACTTGATTCTTCATTAAGAGCAGAGTATTAAGTGCTGTGCTTTTACTATACAGTGTATCTATATACATGTACACTTTGCTTTATATCAAATGGCACCTGTCCAAACCTGTTTGTCAAGGTTCATGGGTCAATCTATTTTTGTGTAAGATTGACCATGGGTCAGTGCGCACCCGCGCTTTTGGGGGCATTGTCACTCCCGTACAAGTTTATGGCCGTATCGGACGTGTTATGCAATTGTGCAGACTTGGTGCTTATTAGTGAGCTAGGAATTCTAAATTGTGAGTACTTTAATAAGATCTTAGTGATTGTAAATTATTTATATCACATGTGATAACATTTTGGTATAGTTCTGATGTAAATTATATACTTTATAATTTACATCAGAACTATATCAAAATGTTATCACATGCGATATAAATAATTTACAATCATTAAGATCTTATTAAATGTATTAAATTTGAAGACTCCTGTATAGTTGTAACTTAAACATGGATCTAACCTAGCTGGTATTCCGTGTTGTAATTCTTTGATATATTATTTCAAACACTTATTCGTGTGTAGAGAGGTTTATTGAGTAATATTTAAATTTGGTGTGGAAAAGCCCTACTATATTACTACTAAAGTACTGTCAATAGCAGCTTCATGGTATGCGACTATAACGGAAGAGAGGTTTATTGAGTAATGAAATAGACTCAAATATATGAGGGTTTGTTTGGCAGATAGGTATATCAGTGAAGTCAACAGAGGCAATATTTTGACAGATATTAGAAATATAATGTAGTTAGCCGGGTCAGGATTCACCACTATCGTTGATCTTTTCACCGTACTCTCTCTCTCTCTCTCTCTCTCTCTCAACCGAGGGAAATAGGCATGGTCACGTGACACCAGAAACTTGCTATATCCCTCAACTCCATACTTTAACCGTTTTATTATACCGATACACAATGGAGAGATAGTTTTAACTAGAAAATATTTGTAAACCATAAGCTGTATAGCTTCACGTCCCAAATACCCTTTTGAAGGCAATGGAGCCAAATGCTTCCGAGTTCGGTAGCAAGCTCCGCCTACCTCGCGCGACGCTTCCGAGTTCGGTAACAAGCTCCGCCGCACTCTCGCCTGATTGACTCGGCGGAAATACCCGAGTGTAGGTATGTTTCAGTTCCCAGACTAACACACAGGACTAAAACACAGTCAGGCAAAAGTGGGGATATCTTCGTTTTGACCAATTACTTTTATATAGAGTAAATGAGGTAGAGGAATAATAAATCTATCTACCCTCTCTTCATCCGAGTATTCTGTGTAGCGTGCGCGTCAGTGCAGGTTGTTAACAAGGTTTCCTAACGGTGCTGGCCTAATGGCCTGGTACTTGATGTGATAAAAGAAAGTGTTTGTGTTGTAAATATTGTTATACTGCCTAATTTTGACAGTGGTATGAAAGATAATTTACAGATGTGAAGTTAAAAGAACACTGAGATGCTCCTGAAGAAGCAGCTTGCTATGGTCTGGGCAAGCTGATGGCACTAACGGCCGTTTTGAAAGATTGTACAGTGGGGCAATGAGACATGTGTCTCCTGGTAGGGCATTCTACTGTTCTATAGCTTAGGGAAAGAATGAATACTCATGTATTGTTGCATTGGAATAGCAACCAGTTGGTGGACAAATCTTATAGAAAAGACGCAGTCTCGCAACTGAGCGTCTATGCTGTAGGGTTTGCCACCCAGTCTAACCAACTCGGAAGGGGGAGTAGTCACATGCGCTGGCCCACCTCCAATAGTGATGACTTAGCTGTTGTTTTGTGGGGTCCAAAACGGAGGCGGAGTACTCAAGTTGTGGGCGAACTAATCTACATCTACATAGTAATGACCACCTTCGTCTATTTGTAGATCATGTCATGTGATAGTGGTTGCTAGGCCAAGAGAAGAAAAGATAAAAAAAAAATAGCGAAAGGGAATATTTATAAAGTATTGGAGTTAGAATTGTTTTTTGTTTAGGGACAGTTTAAAGCAGTCAGAAGAGGTAATGGAGGTTATATCTGGAGGCAGGTTATTCCAGTCTACTATGGTACGAGGGAAAAAGGATTGTTGTCGTACCTGTGTTCTACATGAGAGTGTTTGATATGAGTTCCGGTGTGCGTGTCTTGTGTGGCGGGATGGAGGTATGAGTTGGTCTTTAGTTATGTTGACTTTGTCGTGTATAGTTTTGTGTAGTGTTGTCAGTCGCATGACTCTCCTTCTGTCTTCAAGTGATTGCCAGTTAAGGTGTTGAAGCATGTCACCAACACAGGAGGTGTTTCTAAATTTGTTGGTGACTAATCTGGCTGCTCTACGCTGCACCATTTCTATTTTGTTTATGACTGTTTTAGTATAAGGGTCCCAAACTGAGCAGGCATATTCTAGGGGTGGTCTGACAAGTGTTTTATATGCCTGCTCCTTGACAGATGTAGAGTTTATCTTTAGATTTCGTCTGAGAAAGCCTAAGGTGGAGTTGGCTTTCCTACAGATGTTATTTATGTGACATTCCCACTTCAGATTTGACTGTATAGTGACACCTAAATATTTTGCTTTGTCTACGTGTTTAAGTTTCATTCCGTGCAGCATGTATTTGTGATGTTGTGGTTGTTTGTTATTGGTAATGGAATGGAGGCCAACAGGAATGTCGTTTATATAGAATAGAAAGAGGGATGGACCAATAACCGAGCCTTGAGGGACACCTGACTTGACATCGACGATGCTAGATTTTCCCCCTTCAACGATGACAGCCTGCTTCCTATTATCCAGGAAGTTTTCTATCCAGTAGTTACATAGGTAGTACTTCCGATCCTTTTAAGAAAACCTAAAGCCCTGTTTGATATGCTACTAACTCGGTTAACATGTTTATTCCATGTAAGATATTTGGAAATATCGACACTTTGCGTGAGTAACAACTTCCAAAGTTTGATTATAGTAAATGTGTCTGGACTGAATATTTGATTTTTGGACCGAGTAATTTGGTCACCTGACATTTGTCGGGATTAATTCCATATTCCAAATATTTTCCAAAACCTGTTATAAATTGTCGAGGTCTTTTGAAGAACGTCAGCATCGTCGATGTTGTCCAAGGTCGAATATAATGATGATCGTCAGCGAAAAGTCGGAGTTCAGATGTAACATGCTCCGGAAGGTAATTTACATTATAAGCTAAAAACAAGATGGGACACCAGATGTTAGCTTCACCTTTTCTGAAAAATCACCTTCCAGGACCACCTGTTGTAACCTACCTAATAAGAAACATTTAATCTACTGAAGGTTATGACCTTTGACGCCATACTGTTGTAATTTGAATAATAATTTCACATGGTTGACCCTGTCAAAGCCGGGCTTTACTAAAATCTGATAAGATCATATCAGATTGCTTACCAGAATTTAGTTTAAACAATATTTTATTCAATATAATCAACAATATTACAAATACAACTGTAAATTTGGGATGGGAAAACAAGCTTGGAGCTTATATTAATTCCTTTCCCAAACAAATCAAAAGGCAAATGAATCTTCGGTACTGAAGTACACCTTATTTCAATATGGAACGAATAATAATAAGGTTTAACAGATAACATATATACATGTACATGTGGTGAATAGAATTGATAATTGACATGATTTATGACGCCATAAATTGCTAGTCTGTAAGTACAGGTCACCTTATTGTACTGAATACCGTTAAATGATACAGCACACTAAGTTTCCATATTTAAAACAATTTGTACAAAAATATTAGCTAAAACGTTTACTTAGTTTAATATAATTTTGGACTGTCAAAAATATTTACTCATTTTTCTGTATGGAGTAAATATCATTACCCTATAGAAGTGTTTTTTCAGTAAGAATAATATCTAACTGATGTAGTGTGCTTTGTCTGATTGTGGTATAATTGTCACAAGATAGTAAAAAATGATGTATCCTTTCAACTAATCCGCAGTTACATAATGGACTTTCCTCTAAATTTCTTATGTATAAGTGTTGTTTAAGATTACTACATTTAACCCTTGATCGTGTATGTAAAATTTGAAGATGTCTGCTTCCAATGTTAAAATATTGAGGGATTATTACTTTATCCTTTCGTAAAAAACTTTTAATTATGTTAGGCCCCTAACGGACGGATTATCACGAATATCTACAGGTAATGCATTCCATAATTGTACTGAGGAATTTAAAAACGAGTCTTTATAAAATTGAGTTCTACATCTAACAGAATGTAAATTGTTTGAATTTCTAGTATTATGCATATGACTATCTGATTCTTTCCCTGGGATTAAGTTCGAGAGATAGGATGGAGTTTTCTTATGATACATTTTGTGGAACTGTAAAATTTTATGATTTTCCCGTCTATTAGATAATTTTTCCCAGCCCACATCTTTATATAATAAACTAACACTTGATAATTTTGTAGCACCTGTAACTATTCTAGCAGCTTCTATCTGGGCGTTTTCTAAATTTTGACATAGATAGTTTGGTAAATTGTCCCAGACAATATCAGAATATTCCAAAATTGGTCTAATAAAAGAAAAATATATTGTTTGAAGAGAATTCCTATTCCTACCAGAATTTAGATTTCTTATCACACAAATCGTGTTTCACATGAGCGTTTCCCTCGGAATCTATTTTGTAGGTTATACATAATGTTATTTTTATCAACATGTTTCACTAGATTAGAGGCGATGGTATGTTATAACCTTACAAAGAATACAGGTATACTAAAGAAATCGGGCGGTAGTTAGCGGCTTTAGTTTTCTCACCATATCTGGTGTAATTATATTAATCAAAGTTGAACTGTGAAATGGAATAAAGGATTCGTGGAACGTTCAGGTACCATGCCAAATACAAAACAAAACACCTATTTGTTATATCATCACCTTTGTTAATTCGTGTGATACTTCGAATGTTTCCTTTGTAGTCTGACACCTAAATTTTGATAACGAAAGTAAATGATGATTGTCTCCCCTGTTCGTATTATGTGACCAATGAGAGTCTACCATATCGCATAGTCAGAAGGCTGCCGGTGCACGTCAACTAACCAACAAAGATGATTATAAAGACCCTATTGATATGTTTTGTTGTAGTTATCACGTCTGCTTCCATTCCAAGACCAAGAGGAGTAGCCGACTCAAGTAATATGCTATTTTTTTCGTCTCGTTAAAAGTGATCGTTCTTTGGTTGTGTTGTGTCCCCCCCCCCCCCCATACACACGTAAGTCTAGACACCAGTTTCCGCGCGTTATGTATTTCCGCGCAGCCATATTATCAAGCTATATCTCGTAACTACGTGACCTGCTGGACACAACACAAGGATATTTTAGACGTTTGGCCATCGTCTGTAAACTGACACTAAAATTACCGGAAGTTCGTCCGGAAAACATCAGAAATAATCACCGATTAAAAAAACACGCATAGATATACAGTTTTCCTTAATGCACGTTTTATCTATTCTTACTGTGTTTCTTCTTCTTCTTCTTCTTCTTCTTCTTCTTCTTCTTCTTCTTCTTCTCTTCTTCTTCTTCTTCTTCTTCTTCTTCTTCTTCTTCTTCTTCTTCTTCTTCTTCTTCTTCTTCTTCTTCCCGTTCTGGAGTTGACTCATCAGATGAGTGTCACTACTCCAGGCACTCCGGCGCTTATTGGCCATACAGCAAAACAATTTGCTATTTACATCTGTCTGTATGTACATCTAAAATCTGGAATTTACAGTTAAAATCCGGAGTCCTGTCTAGTGCCTGGGGATGAGTCCGGCCACATCAATGGTCTGTATGTGGTGCCGGAAACAGTCTACTGTTGGTAATTCTCTGATATCTGATGGTATTGAGTTCCACACCTTGATTGTAGCAGGGACGAATGAATGTTTATATGCGTCGACTCTGGTGCTTATTTGCCTGATGTTGTTGGCTTGGGAACTCCTAGTCCCACTGCTGGTCTGTTGTAGGAGATGATGGACGGGGACTTCTACTAGGTTGTTGATGATTTTGTAGAACATGATGATCCTATTTCTCACTCTTCTGTGTTCTAGTGGTTCCCAGTTTAGTTGCTTAAGCATGGTAGTAATGCAACCAGGGTCTCGGGAGTAGTAATTCCCTGTTGCAAATCGTGCTGCCTGTCTTTGTACGTTTTCGATTTGTTGCATTTGATGGTATTGGTATGGTGCCCAGACTACAGATGCGTATTCCAAAACTGGCCTGACTAAGGTGGTGTATGCCTGGCATTTTACTGCTTGTGGACAGTTCCTGAGGTTACTTCTCAAGAATCCTACTGTTCATGAGGCCTTGGCAGTTGTCTGATCAATGTGATCCCGCCACGATAGATCTTGACTTATGTATACTCCAAGGTACTTTCCACCTGGAACTGTCTCAAGGGTGTTTAAAGTTACGTGACAATTTTGGCCAACGATTCTTTTAGCATAATAAAGGGGATATGATGTTACCAGAACCCTGTGACTGAAGACAAAAGTTATGATGTTTCAGATTACCCACCCTCCCCTGTCCTTGTGGTGAAATTTCGGGAGAATTACCTTCTTTCGACTGCTGACCGCGCCAACACGACGAATCTCGTGTAGCAACACGATAAATTAACTGCTGTATCTTGTCATGACGACAGCTAGTAGGTACTAGTCACTTCTATGGGTGCATTGATAGACATGGTTAGTACCTGTGGTCATGATGCAACCCTTCGCATCCTGTTATGTAGAGTACAGCACTCTGTTAGATTAGTGAGTATCCCCACTAAATCTCCGCTACCTTGTTAGTTTTGGAGCTGAAAGATAATTGCATGTAGGGACATGTGACACCCGAACGATATTCTTCAGTATGTTTCGGTACTCAGGAGTAATTTCGGCGCTCAAGTTAGAATAGGACAAAAAACTGCTGAAGAATTTTAACATAAGTCATCAAGACATAGGACAAAAAAGAACCTAAAAATGAACTATCCAATATGAAGCGTTAGTTGAAGTGCCGAAAATCTTACTAAATATTGAAATGACTTTGGGACGCACCAAAACTTTTATTATACTTGCTAAATTTTTGAAATTTTTGATATTTCCATGCATGCTCAAAATTAAAATCGAAATAAAATGTGTGTATGCATACCCCCTAGAGGCAAAAGAAGCCTTAACATGACATTGTTTGATTTGTTTTTTCAGATGAAATAATTAGATCTAATAGAATATAGGAATATTTTAGCAAACTCACTCGGGAGTCCCCTCCTAAATGGCAAGTATGTTATGCTTGTACTATATCATACCATGACTGAGTAACAATACGTCCGTGTATCTGTTCAACTCTATTGTGAATAGTCAAACCCTTTGACTTTTTGTTCAAAGCCTACTGTGGAGAAATAATTTGTTTGGGTTATTTTCATTAGTCTGGGCAAGTATCTACTGAACAATCTTAATCCTTAAAAGTGTCTAAATTTGAGTAATTTTGAACTAAAAAGGCACAAGATACAGCTTTTCAGAAGTTTCAGATTTCAAACATACCCTACTCTAGACTCACAAAGAAGGCCTTGCACCAGCAGCTTGCACACGCAGCTTGCACACTCACACCAAGTCATTTTCATCAGGAAAGAGGTCCCGGGGTGAGCAGTGGATATGAAACCCAACTGACCCAGTTCCCCTACAATAATTTATTATTTTTGCCTGGAAAGAACATACAACATAGTTCTTAAAAAGCCCCTCCACCTGCTCTAAATCACAGCTTCAAAGTATTCTGTCCAAAATGTGTTTAAGCTTTGAGGTGTCAGCATTATCTTTTCTTTTCAAGTATTGTTAATATGGGTTTTTCTTCCATTGTTATAGATGCATCCCACTACCAGCCTAACAGTGAGAATGTGTTTGCGTGCCTTGATGGTTCTCAGACTTTCCCCTACACCTATGTGAACGACGACTACTGTGATTGTACCGATGGATCAGATGAACCCGGTAAAGGATTGAATGTGCTGGACCTTGATTGGGTTGATGGCTGTGACAAGATACTTTGGCCAATTGAACATTGTTTATGAACATTGTTTAATACTTGGATTTAAACTCTGGTTTAATTGGCTTGTATAATAATGTCCTATTGCATTCTGGTGCCTGTGACCAGGATTCAAAACTAAACTAGCTGGAACCATACTTGTTCTATTTCGTTCAGTAGCTGCAGTTAAAAGACATACTTGTAGGGGTTCCAGTGCATTTTTAACTGGAAATATTTATGCAAATATTACCTTTTTTTTTATTGGGTAAATAAAATTATTTTAGGCAGTCTGTTGGCCTGCTCATCTAGGACATCCAGGCAATCCAAACAGATTCTAGGCAGCAAAATAGGTATAACAATAAGTAAAATCTAAAAACATATACAGAATTTAAAGAAAATTGTTCTAAAAATAAAAAATAAAACAGCGGGTAAGTTGATTGTTTGATTGGCACCAGATCTTTATGATATGATTTGGCACCAAATTGATGTGATTTTTTTTTTTTTAACATTCTATTATTTTAAAGGTACATCTGCATGTCCAAATGGCAAGTTCACATGCACCAACGCTGGACACAGACCATTGATAGTTCCAGCGTCCAGGGTCAATGATGGTGTTTGTGGTAAGGAAATAGAATGTTTAGAAACTAAGTGTTTTTTGTTTAAATGTTTGAAGTTCTGCATAGAATCATAATCATTCTTATATTATATTTTTTAATATATATTTTGTTTACACAGTAAATTTTGAAAGATAAAAGATAAATATTTATATATTACAATTTAAATAATTAGAGATAGATATATGAGTGATTTGAGTAATAAATATTAAATAGTATTTTGATCTAGTCCGAAGCTTATGTTAATACATGTACTTCGTAGGTAACAGAAATGTATATGATATATACATATCACATGGATATTTCACTAAACAGTAAGCAGTAAAAATATCTATCACATAAATGTCTATGTGTGAACTTCATTATTCAAATATTGAGTTGAGAACCATTCCATCCCCGATGAAAGGCTAAGCCGAAAAGCTTGGACATGGAGTGAATGTTGCTATATATGTAGTACCTGGGTATACAGTATATACATTGATTATTCTTTATTGCAGACTGTTGTGATGGGACAGATGAATACTCGGGAAACATTGCTTGTGTTGACAGTTGCAAGTAAGTTGATTGTGACTAATGTGGATGTGGTCATTGACAGTTTATCTTCCTTCAGTGTTAAGATTGTTCAGTATTTGCATCCTGGTTTGTTGATGACCTTAAAGCAAAAAAACATAGACAAAAGATACAGTATTGTTTTGCTCTAAAACAATAGGGTATGTAGGAATAGACTAGTGTTGTGTCAAGAATGTGTATTGTTGAGATAAAATAAATGACTAAGAGTAATTGAGATAATGTTATGGTCAATAATAGAGTTTCTCCGTTGTCAGGCACTTTGATGATATAAATTCAATTGCTGTTATGCACGGCTGCTGGCCCTAGTATTAACTGGCATTGTCACAGAAGGCTAAAGTGTATGACCTGCTGAACTGATAGCACATAATAATGATTTGATATGATACTGTACCCATGTTACTAGTCAGTCCCAGACCAGACCTTTGAGCTAGGCACCCATGTTATCCCTTGACAATCAATACAAGATGTAACACAACAATTGGTGTTGGCTATTTGTATCCAAGAGATTTTCAGGGTAACAGTATATATATAACATCAGAAATATCTCATTTTCAGCAAAGTGAAACTGTTACACTGTGTTGACTCAGCTACTGGTAATCTTATTACTGAATAAACAAATGTGCCTTTGTTTTCTTTATTATGCACATAAACCCATAGGCTCATAGCCAGAAAGTCAACAATGGCTTTATACATTTACAGAGAACTGGGAAAGAAGCACAAGGAGGAAGTGGAGCGAATCATGAAACAACAGGAGGAGGGCATGAAAAAGAAACAAGAATTTGCAGAAGCTGGCAAGAAGATGAAAGAAGAAAAGAAAGTGAGTTGGATGAAATATGTCAAAATACATGAGTGTTTAAATAAGAAGTATCATATTTATATTTATCATATGAATACCGTGTTATGCAGTGTCATAAAGCCATCACATAAATTATGTAACGTGTGTAATATCACTCCGGAAATGATGTCATAATCGAAAAGGAACCATCAATGTGACGTCATGTCATTGTGATGCGGACGCAATTTTCATTGTTTCAGGGGCGGCCAAGTGCAAAATATTCGTTTCAGATCACAATTATACAGTTTACTTTGTATTACAATATGATAAAAGATGATACTCGTTTTGGATTTTTCACATTTGCTCCCGAGAGGCTCGCCAAGCTCGCAAACATGAAAAATCCAAAACTTGTATCATAAATCTAATATGAAGGGAAACTTATGACAGATCCTCAATATATTTGGTGATATAAAGCTACAAACACCTAGAAAGGCTCTATGGACTAGGCTCTGATATACCTGTACTTTTGTTGTTAACATGATTAATATAGTCCAGTAAGGGTATTTCTAAGATGTACTAAATCCTATGTTTGCAGGCTAGACTTGAGCAGTTACAGGGTGACAAGGAAGCGGCAGAGGCAGAACGCCAGGAAATGGAAAGTATGTGTACTGCTGGCTGTTGTCCACTGACTAGGCTTACTTTTATTTAGTGTTCACTGACCACTGTCCAGTAACTATGTTTTACCCAATCTATGTATAGATTTTCTTTTGGAAGTCTCTGATGATTAGTGTCCGTTTGTCATTCTACATAACATTTAACAGTTCTGATTATTAAGGCAACCAAAAGTATGCTGCTGATTTAATGATAAATAATGGACGGGGTACTTGAATTTATCAAAAAGGGAAAATATTGTGAATACCTATGTTTCCATTCTGAGTCTGGAGCGAAATGATATAAAGTCTTATTTCTGTTACAGTCAAGAAAAATGAAGCTGAAGTCCCCGAGAAAGAAGCCAAAGATAAACATCAAGCCGCTTGGGATGGTAAATGTTGAATCCTTTATTCTCCATTGAATTATGGTTTGTGGTTCATGATTAGTGAACAAAACATAAAATCAATGGTCCAATAACACAAACATAAATTGAGGTTATACCCTAACCCTAAATGAAAGGAATGTTCTGAATATGTAACAGGGTACTTTTAACAAAAGTAAGTAGATTTATACAAAAAGCAATGAAGCTACTTAATATCTAAAATAAGTTAGCTACAAGTATTATTGAAATAGGTTGTTATTATATATATATTGTATAATGTCGTGTTATGTGTGTACTATGTCCATCAATGTATACTATGTAGTATTTGACCTCTTGTTACGCACGTATGCGTATGGCGTGAGTGTAAAATAAATCTTGAAATCTTGCAATCATTGAAGCTTGGAAAATTTGATAGTTCCAGGCCACTGTTGTCCCTCCGCCATTTTATAGGGCAGGTATATAGTGTTACATATGTCTGTCCTGTGACATTGTTATTCATTGTCGTCATGACTCTACCAATTTAATTTCTTCATTGATTATCATCAACATTTATACACAGGTCGAGTAAGAGTATTCCTCAGGTGAGTTCCTAGGTCCCTAGGTCAATGCCAAGGTCATTGTTGCTATTTATAGGTCAACCACATAGCCAATGAGGTATTTATGTCTTACAGATGTTTTCTAATATCAATATACATTTGTAATTTCTGAAAGAATGCCTTAAATTTGATTCAGAATACTTAAATAAATGTTATGTGTCCTTTTTTTCAACTTGCAGAAGATAAAGCGCGCAGGACAGCAGAGAAGGATTTAGTCACAGCCTCCGCAGCCTTCCAAGAGCTGGACTCCAACAATGACAACTTGTAAGCACCAGACAGTGGGTAAAAACCCAGATCAGCTAGAAAATCGTCACACCCTGATATCATTATCATATTTATCTGAGGCACTGGCAAATCAGAGAGAAACGAGGGGAAACAGCAACAAACTAGCGAAAAATCAGAAACAAATCAGATGAGAAATTTGGGATGCTTACATTGCCGTAGTAATAAGGACTAGTTTATCATAATTAGTTTCAATATTTACACAATCAGAAGAACACCATTTTAAATTTCATATGTACTTAAATAAATTGGCCAACAATTTTTTATTTTCTAGCTATATGTAGACTAACATTTATATAGTGTTTGGTTTTTGACACTATTTTTTGCATAATAATTCTTGGTAAATGGCGATTTTGTTTAGATATTAAATGACAGCAGCCTTTTTCGTGAAAAAAATCCTAACAGTCATGTTTGCTTTTATTTCAATTTTGATTCGATACATCATACTCGGGATGCATATGGGATGAATTTGAATAATCAGTCTATTTCAGTGAACTGAGTGAAATTTCATGACTATGAAAAAATGTGCCCTTGTTCTATAATATTGTGTTGAGTAAGTCTCAGATGAAGAATCTTAAGATATTTAATGGTTCTAAATAATAATTAACAAAAAATAAACGATAACCTCATGTTGTTGATATAAAGAGGTGCCTGCTACAACCCACTTGTATATCTGTTGCTTCAGTGTTGATGTACTGGAGATGGTCATCCACAACGAGTTTGATATTGACTCCAACGGTGTGGTCAGTGAAGAAGAAGTAAAGGTAATAATAATATAAACCAGTCAAAAATTGCTACACATCTGATTTGTTGATCCCTCAAATGGATCACTGGATGTTGACAACACGTAATCTGACCTCAAATTAGGTAGTAGGACCTACTTCTAACATGCAAAAAAGATATATTCGATATTTGGCTGCCCTTCCTTTGAATAACTTTTAATTTGACCAATTGAAATGATGTCACAACTTCACCTAATGTTAGCATTCTGGTTCCAGTCGCTCAAAGGTGTGTTAGAATTAGCCATTGGTTAGGCGAAATTTTAAAAATGAATACAACAATATCATGAACATCTGATATCATTTCACGGCTATGTATATGTTGAGCCAAATAAGAGTGATATGTTTGGAGGATGCATTTTGCTTTGTAAGCCCTAGCATTTTTAGGCATATTTATTTTCACTAACCACATGTAAAAGTTAACTAAACTTTTTGCGACCAGAGCTACAAAGCTGGTGAGCTCTGCTTACTAAAGTTACAGGTAGGTTAATCGTTTCCCTCTTGTTTATCAATAGGAACATCTTGAGGAGGCCGATAAAGTAGACGAGGACACATTTGTTACAAAGATCTGGCCCAACATCAAACAGATCTACAAGTCCTTGGTTCCAGAACCAGCTGAAGCTGATGGGCAGGCTGCACCTCCTGCAGAGCCCCAGGGGGAGACAGCCCCTCCCCCCGGGGAGGAAACAAAGGTGAGTTTTGTGACCTGGTGTTTTGACTGGTGGCATTATTTGTAGCAGTTATCGCCCTTTATTCACCATTCCATTTTTTCATCTGTTCTCCCCTTTGTATCTAGAGTGTAGTTGGATCTCATTTATCCTGGGTATTCTGGAATAGATAACTGACAACAATATTCCGTTTATATTCTGTATTTGTGATCATTTCAATATATGAATTATTTTTGAAAACATTAATTACGAAATCAAGAATGTCCAGGACTATGAGGTTTATCTACATGCTTTAGAGTTTTTGCACAAAATTTTCAAATATCAGTTTTATAGAAATAGCTTTGCTGATTTTTATCTGAGGTAAAAAATATGTATGACATAAATAAATTATGTGTATGAACATAATGGTATTCTAGTAATAATGACACCACAAATACTAATACAGGGAATAAGGGTAAAATGTGATAATATGTAGGAACTGACCCAAGTTTATAAATCAATAAGACGGTTGCATGAACCAGCGACAAATGTATCAACACATGTTTCAGTGTAGCTCCATGTTGTTGAGTGAAATAAAGCTTAGTGCATTCATGTTATAGTAGTAACTTTGTTAGGTAAGAGCACAGGTGTGTGAAATTCTAATTTTAAAATAAGAAAATAGACCATTTAAACATTTAAAACAAAAAAAACAAAAAAACAGGAATAGTATCAAAAAATAAAACAGGTATACAATATATCCAATGACAATATATACCAAATATACCCTGCCTACTGATATCAATCGGCACTGCAAACAGTATAAGACACCACTCACAGCTTATGATCAGTTCTATTTCGGCTGTAATCACACAGAGATAGCCCATCACGAGCACCATGACTAGAACGAGTCGGTCATTAGGTAGGTCAATAAACTGATAAGTTGGACTACATTTTACTTGGAATAAATGTGTGTCAATATTATGAAGTTTTCAGTAAGGTGATTTATGGTTTCAAGCCTATCCCTTAAGCTTGTTAGATACTAACAGATCAGCAGCAGTAGTAAAATATCACTGATTCAATGTTTGAAGGAGATTATTGTAACAACTTTGGTATGGAGGATTTCAAAATGTATTTCTTTATTACAAGTATTAATTGATTATGTTTTAGTCAAGGGTAACTATTAAATGATCAATCAGGAAGTTTTAACCGGTTCCCAACACTACTATTCCTTGATTTACAGTCAGAATTGGTAAAAGAGTCACCTGAAAGCATAGATTGGTCAGGGTCATCAGCAAGCTTTGATAGGTCGGGGTTGCAGGTAGGAGATGAAGGACACAACTAGGTTTTCAGTTTAGGTCCCTACAGATAAGTCTCAGGTCCAAAGGTCAGAGGGATCAGGTCCAAAGGTCACAGGGATCAGGTCCAAAGGTCACAGGGACTAGACTTCCAGCATTCAAATCATTTTAGAAATTTCATTTGATCTATTTCTTAGACGCTGTATAACTTTAAATAATTAACTTTTTGACAAGCAATCATCATTTCCCTGTGTCCATCTTGACATCAATATCTATTTTGTATATACATGTAACAATTAACATTTTTATATCACAACAGTTTTGAACTTCTGATTAACAGTTATCTTAGACAAAGATTTTCTCCCAAAATTTGCCCAAACTGGTAGCAAGTTTAACTCTGTCCACTGTATCTTAACCTGGATTAAAATTCTTAAAAATCATATCTGGATTAGAGGAGTATTCGTCTGGGAAGGCAGACTCTAAAAGAGTAACAGTCTATTTTCAAAGAATTATACAGTGTAATGCAGGTATTGATTGTCTATGTGGAATACCTTATTTACCATTTCTATTATATTTGTTATTATGAACTAACACAGATTAGTGTATTGTCATATACCCCAAGTTGACTAGGTGGGTGGGTCTGATGATGAGTTACCTCCCTTGTAGGACTCTCCCAACTCCCTTCCTCCCCCTCCTCTGGACCCTGAGGATGATTATGAGGAAGATGAGGAGGAGGAGGGAGAGGATGATGAGGAGGAGGATGACTTGGATGGTAGGGATGATTATCATGATGTGAGTATTTTACACCACATTCCTCTGTGTGCTCATTAACCGTGTCTTCCGTCTTGACTGGCTGCATGTCTGAATTTGAACATGATGTGACTACATGGATGTGGAATGTTTTTTACTTTCTTCACTCAATATAACACAAAATTATTTTCTACTGGCTGGAATCATTACCATTGATACCTCACGACCCTCATCTCACTTTCTTGCAAATTAAAAAGAATAAAACCAATCCATGAATTAAAAACTCATGAAAAATCCAAGAAAAAAATTAGTTCCAATGCGCATGTACACATTTATATTAGAGGAAGTTTGATAATGTGTGAACGTCTAAATTAAGTTTGCTTATGAGATTTGTTGATTCTGTTCTGTCTGATCATACCCACTCCTATGCTTTGGTGATTTTTTTTGTATGAGTCCCCCCTCAGCTGTGTCGTTGTTTGTGTTTGCTGTACTTAATTTATCACTGTATGGATTTGTTGGGTGTGTCTTGAAATAAGGTGATTTTACAGCTGTTACTGAGTGGTGTTGACCTATCAGTAGATGAATTGCTACTCAAAATAATGCCATGCGTCCTATAAAGTTGTTTTTAGGGTAATTGTTGATCAAGCAGCAATATCATGATGACTTACTTTGAAAAAGGAAGTTTTTTTTAAAGTTCTGTGCTTTTGGGCAAATATTGCTCTCATAAGAAAATGTTGAAAATACTACTAAGATTAATTTTCATTTGTACTTTTACATATCACTTAAAATCTTGTATGAAGTAAACTATTTGATTTAGATCTATGATGTGTAAATATTAATAAAAAACAGCATGTCATTTGATGTACAGCTGTGGATTTTGGTCAGCTAGTAAAATATTTGTACCTTTTCTTAGAGATTATTGCAATGAGCATGGGAACAATATTTCTTTAGTCCATAGTTGTAAAAAGGAGGAATGATTTGGCAAAACTAAAACACTTTCAGGTGCATACATATAACCTAACACATCATTTGTCATTAGCCTGGTCCTAGCACTGCTGCTCCGGTGATGTCAATCACAGGGGCTGGTACTCTGGCCACACTTGCCCCCACTACTAACGAGATACAGGTATACCACTTTAACAGGTGTTGGGATAATCTACATACCTCTCTATCTAGGGTATTACTGCTTGCTGAACTGGTATTGCTGATTTCATTTCCTCATAGTCAATGGTACTTTCTTTAAAATTTGCATGTAAATGAATTAATATTGATCATAAACTGTACTTTCTTTTTCAGTTTGATGTAATGGTGCGCTTTTAATAGCCTTTTATACAAAACAAATATAGCCAAACCAAAACAATATCCTTGAGTCTGTCATTAGCTTTTCCACAACTTGCATTCCCTTTGAACATTCATTAAAATTGTATTCTTTCCTGCTCCATAATTTAGGATCCTTTAGTGAAAGCAGCCATTGCGAAGGCAATGGTTTCTGTACAGGAAAACCTATCCCAGAATGAGGTATCCATTTTTATACAACCTTTTATGCTTTTTGAGTTTGTACAGAAATGCACATGTTTCCTGAGAACAAGGAACATGTTAGAACTACATCAGTTGTAAAAGTGTGTAAATTTGTACAAATTCAAGAATTACATGGTGTTTGTGTTTTAATATATGGGTCCTGGATTCCCTACAAATTTGGTGGATGGAATAATGTAATTTTGTTTTTGCTTATACAACATTGGTTTCACATCTTACAACAGTGTATAGTAATAGCATGTGGTGTTCTGGTAACATGGCCTTGACCTTTGACTGTAGTTGATCTGTTTAGATATTGTATCCTCATGACACCTCACTAAGCAGTCAGCTGTACTGTAATGTCACCCTCATTTGTCTAGTCTTCAGATACATCAGTAAAATAGTAACCAACAAGAAAGCTCAATATATGTACATATACTCTGAAATCCTCAAATATGGATCTAAATTTAAAATCATATTTTTGAAAACAAGCTTGCCATACATTTTCAGATGTCACATTTATCTTTTTAGGTAAAAAAACTTGCCCTCCACAACTTGCTTAATTTTATGGAATCATGCATGAATTTATGAGCTATGTTATGAAGCAATTGGTAAAGTAACAAGAAGTCAATAATTCTCCCTTATAGAGTTGTTGACCCTTCTGCTTGATCCTGGTGGCCCAGGTTATCTGTGTCAGAATGACCTTGACCTTTGTCGTTCTGGTAAAATTAACAAAATGATCTTGACTAGATATAATGGAGATGACTAGGTGTCCTTGGTATGCTAGATCTAGAATCTAGATTGTCTAGGAGTATGGTACTCAATATGGTTACGAGTCACTGGTATCTGTGACTAGTGTGTGTTATATTCCTTGTATGTTTGCAGGAACACTGGATTAATTTTTCTTCTGATCAAGACAAAATCAAAATATGATTCAAATCCTGCTACAATTTTGGGAAAATAATATTAAGTACCACTCCTATATATTATCATGGTCATCATTAAACTTCAGGGTTTGATCACTCATAGGTGTTGGATTTAAAAAGATCAAAATTATCCGTATATATATCAATAACCCACAACCAATTGCAACCAGTGTGTAGATTTTGTCAACACTTTTTTAGCTTTTCTGCTGCCAGTACTTCATGATTTTGGAAATTCACTCAAGAACAAAATTGTCTTTCAGGAATCAACATGATAGGTAGATATGTAAGAGTACTTGCGATAGTCACATACCTTGGATTTCACGGTGATATTTACTTGTTTCAGACAGAGGAGGAGGGGGAGGATAAGATGCCTGCCTATGACGAGGAGACCCAAGTACTGATAGAAGGTGTGTATATACTGTCAAGTAGACTTACAGCTGTTCAACATAGGAATGGAATAAAAGAACTACATAACTTAGTTTATGTAACAATGTGTTGTAAAATTCTTAGCCAGCGATGTAATCTAAATATTAAAATGAAATGTTCATTTTACACACATAAAAATAAATAAAAAAGAGGTTGTTTGCAGTGATGTATCTCTGGTGAAATTAAATTATTAAATAAAATTCAAATGTTTGTTAAGTAAAATGAAGAATATTGCATACCTTATATTTGATTCCCCATAAAGTGTTTGAATCACATTACTGGAAGACATAATATGAACTCTTTAGAGATGATGGGTCCATATTTTATATGGGATGTACCCCTTCACAGACCTAAGCTAGCAACAATACATTTTATTGGTAGGTATTCCTATGTGTCACAATGACCAGTATAGCTGTGGGAAACATAGCTCAAGGTCTGGTAATCTAAACTTCAAAATAAACAGAAATGCTGGGACGTTGAGCTACGGTTCCAGCAGTTATATACAGCACACTCTATAGCTATCTGCCTTCTGTACAGGAAGATACAGTCACTAATGTTAAACATGATGTTATTTTACAGCTGCTGATGCTGCTAGGAACGCTTTTAATGCTGCCGATGAGAAACTTCAATCCATTAACAGAGAAATAACGTAAGTAATGAAGATATCAGAATAATATTCAGACTCATTATCTCATAATTAGGCTGACATTTATTAGAGATGGGATGATGTCAGAGTTTCAAAGTACATGTACACCTTATAACAGTGTATGCTAGTTGTTTGTTCAATTCAAATGAAAGTATTGATTTTGACTTTATATTTATTATTTGTATAGGCAAATTATTAGACTGACCCCCATCTCTAGAATGTTGAATTATTCAGAAAAATAATAGACTTATACTTTGAATTGCTTGGATGTCTGATCCTAAATGTCAAACTGGTGGGAGATAATCTGGTAGAAAATGCAGCTGTGAAGTTCTTAAAACTGTGAGGGTCTGGAAGCCAATCTAGAGGAGAACCAGTTATTAAGTTACCGACTTGTCACTTCTTAGGACTCTTACAATACGTTTGAAAATTGGTACTTGTGTATTTCAAAATTCGTAGGAATATTGTATCATTTCGCAATAAAAAAAAATAAAAAATCACAGTATCACAATATTTTTCAAAATCTTAATGTTATGGATTGGTTAGGTCTTTTAACTTGAAAGTTACTAATTAGAAAACAGGCTATAACTAGTGGTGGCAATCAGTTGAAATTTCTTAATTGAAGAATGATTTATTGTAAGTCTAAAATATAAATGATTTATTGTAAGTCTAAAATATAAATGATTTATTGTAAGTCTTAAATATAAATGATTTATTGTATGAAGTCTAAAATATAAATAATTTATTGTATGAAGTCTAAAATATAAAAGATTTATTGTAAGTCTAAAATATAAATGATTTATGATTTTTTGGACAGCATTTTAACATCACATATGAAATTCAGTGCCACTTTAAAAAAAAAAGTAGACTTTTTCTATGAAAAATTATGTACCGCGATAGATCACTTTTGTATTACAATATACTGGTACTATATCACACCTCTTTGACTTTTTGTACTTCATAGAAATGCTTTACATAGATATAGGTAACCAAACAAACATCTTCAGTTCATGTATATGACATCGGATAATGTATATACACATGTTTACAGTGTATGTATTGGTTTATGTTAGGATAATTTCTATCTTTCAATGAGCTAATTTCTCTGATTTCAGTAACTATGAACATTACAAATGGATAAAATGAAATAAGCACAAAAATGTAATTTGTAAATAATATTCAACCATTTGTAGGTCACTGCAGAGTTACATGAACCTCGACTTCGGCAACGATGAGGAGTTTTCGGAATTGAAGGATAAGTGCTTTGAGTATACTGACAGAGAGTATACCTACAAGTTGTGCACGTACGAACGGGCATCTCAGCGACCAAAGGCTGGGGGCACAGAGACAAGTCTGGGGTAGGCATTTCTTTATTTGAAAAACCCAATCTGATATCTGTCTTTCCCAAAACATTATTTCACGATTAATAGCAAATATATTTCCCTAACTGATCATTATTTATTTAATTGATATATAAGGCATGTTGGTGTAAATAGATCAGTGATTCATAGGTCAATATAGACATAGTGTAACGGAAAAAGAATTGGGAAGAGAGTCATGTACTTATTGCCTATTTCACCTGTAGAACAGCATGTCAGCCAGTACTCCATATGTATACGTGGATGTCACCTACAATTATCACATTCAAGGAAAACAGAATTCAGACAAGATTATGATATTTGTGAATAGAGAATTTATTCTGAAAATATCAAAATATGAATTTGTCCAGTGATTTAAAACTGGCAAATAAATTCAACACAGCGGAAGGGTCACTCAAAATGCTGTATTTTATGGAATACATGTATAGCTTCTACCTAATTATGTGTCAATGTATTAGACGAATTATTGATTTTAAACTTTCAGCTATCACTGTCCTTCCCACATCAATAAAGAGATGTCATTGGTTTAATATCCAACCTTATATCTTATATGACCATGTTGTTGTATTGTTTCAGTAACTGGGGAAGGTGGAGTGGTCCAGACAATGACCGTTATTCCTCTCAGCTTTATGAGCGTGGACAGAATTGTTGGAATGGTCCTGACCGTTCTGTAAAGGTGAGTCCCCTTAACTAATTCTGACTTCACGGCCAAAGTACAGTTAGTGTTAAAATAAGTTTTAAAAAATCCTTGTTTTAATATCTAGAGATTGCTTGTGTGTGAGGATTTATGGACATCTTTTCTCTGCGCCACTATAGAGAAGATTCTTAGAAGTCTGCAATTCATTAAATTGTTTCTCACAATTACCTACTGGTGTCAAAGGTACAATCCAGTTCTATAGAATTGAACTATTAGCTGAGGAATAGATTTTTTTGTCCTAAATTTCTTTGATCTTGTTGAACTTTATGCCTGATGTAAAGACATGTTATGTTTGTGTTAAACACATTGTATTAGATAAGCAAAAATCCCTAAAATAGTTAATCATTTCTGTTTCAGGTCCATTTTAAATGTGGTCCAGAAAACCAACTCATCAATGCCTATGAACCAAGCCGTTGTGAATATGCATTTGACTTTGTTACTCCAGTCAGCTGTTCAGGGAGATTATCACCAATGGAAACGCGTTCTCACGACGAACTCTAACCTCTAGCCTTCTTCTAATTTATGTTTTCAAAGTATCTTATAATTAAAATTTCAGTAAACCTTTTATACAAATTTAATGTTTGACAAGTGGACTCTGTTATCACACTGATTGTAAATGTGCTTACATTTTGTACTTTGGAATATATGAAATCTTATTGTGTTACCTGTTGAGAAAATTCCTGCTAGGATATGCTAAAGGTTTTTACATCAGAATGAAAATAAAGGAAGGGACTTCGAAATATCTTTTGATATTAAGTGCTATAATGTGTTATCGACATCAGTTGTTGTTGTAGTGCTATTTAGATTGTACAATTTCTATTTCAATCACATATTTCTTTACATCTGTAATAAATCCTGTCATCAATTTCCTTGTTTATTTTGTCACTTTTAATGTACTGTACTGGGATCAGAAGTGGATGTTCACATCCATCCAAGAATAAATGTATGGCTTCTGACCAAGCTTATGCTGACCCTGACATGTGTCAAACTTTATAACGCATACTTCATATGTTGGTCAGATATATTGTTATATTGGCTTACTCATGTCAACTCACTATTTTGTGCCTAAATACACATTAAACCCAAACAATGATATTACCAAATTGTATTTATAATTATCTGAACCAAATCTTAAGAAATGGGGGTCGATGTAAATGGGAGGATTACTTTCATAATACTGGACTGGAAACATCACAAGGTGGTTGGATTAAAAATTGTACAAATGGAGGGGCTGAGGGGTAGGGGGCAAAAAGGATTTATTTGGCAAAATTGCTTTAACTAGAACTATGAGAACTACCTGGTATATCATGGTGTTATTTGGCCATAATGCTCAAAGTTAATTCTTCTCTGGATCAGTGAGATATATATCAACCATATTTGGTTAGGTATATACTGAGGTGTTGGATATATTTAAAATCATAGAAATGGAGTATCCAGACCCCTGAATTGTTGAGCTAAAACAGGAAATTTGGCCAGATTGCTTCCCTCAAACTTTTAGATGAATATGAATTTTATTTGGTTCGAAGCATCTTCAGGAGTTTGGGATTAGAAATGTTCAACTACGAATGGAGGGGGTCATTTGGCCATATTGCTTTAAGAAACTTCTTATCTAGAAAAATAAGCTGAGTATCAACCGTATTTGGTTAAAAGCATTCTCAGGTGGTGGCGATCCAAATATAACCAATGGAGTAGCAGAGAAATAGGACCAAAAGTGTGATTACCTCAAGATACACGTTTGGACAGATCGTGCCAGTCATTTTCCATTGTCTATGGTCAAGTGAGCTAATAAAATTAAATTTATAAATGTATTAATGAAGTAGACTGACCTGTGCTCGTATTCATGGAACCATTCTCATGCTCAAATTCAGATTCTCTGCTCTTTTCCAATTTCTTGTTCTGACAATAAATGAATAAAAATGAAATTTTGTCAATGATATGAACGGACTTTGAAAAAACTCAAAATTTCATGTGAAGTAAGAAATTCAGTTTGAGCATAGAATCCACGCTTGAACGAATTAATATATGATTGAAAGGGGAATAACTCTGAGATGCTTGTACAAACTTTTTATAAAAGATGATATCATTGGACTAGCTTTGATTGTTTGTGGATTTTTATGTGAAATGCTAAGGATGGAAAAAAATGCAACAGGGTAGGCCGGGATTCCAACCACGGACATCCGAGTCAGCGTCCTGGATAAGTCCCGACACAATTACAACCAAAACAAAATTAAGAAAAGGTTACTGCATGTACGAACAATCTGCAGTAGAATGCAGTGCGACAGGGGTACTTAAAACAAAACTCTTTAAATGATTTATTAAAGATATATTTGTTGTACTTATAGTCTAAAATGCCTACGTGTGACAAAAGAAAACGTCGTTTATGTTTTTAAAGGAAATGGAACATTGACATTAGAATAGACCACAGGGACCTGATAATTTGTTACAGCTATATTTGGACCTACACTAAGGAGTTCAGAGTAATTTTACATGTTTTGGGGGTTAAGATCCACTTTCGGTAAAAATGCCACACCCAATGATCATATCGACCTAAACCCTAAATTACTCTGAACACATTAGTTTAGGTCCAAATATAGCTGTAACAAATGAACACATTAGTTTAGGTCCAAATATAGCTGTAACAAATGAACACATTAGTTTAGGTCCAAATATAGCTGTATCAAATTCCTAGGTCCCTGTGGATTAGACAAGGATTATTTTGTACTTTGAAAAAAATTATCGCCTAGATGGAAATATGTTCATCTAAAATGTAATTTTTTCTTTGACTGACTAATCTCGACATTTTTGTTTTTATAAGGAGCTATACCTATTGAAGACTGGTTTGGTGTTTTTCCTGCTTCACACTGCCAGTTACTGTAAATTTATAGGTTCAACTTACGATTGTTTCCGTATCTGTGGTTAATATTAATGGTTTTCGTTCAATCTGATTTACTTTTTTCGAGAAACTTTTTATTGACGATATTTATTTCACAAAATAATTAATATAACTATTATTGTACAGTTAGACTTATACTAATTCGAACAACATATCAGTGTTATGTTTCCGTTACGCTATCAGTATACCGTAGCAAACAACAGAAATAAAAAGAAGTATAATGAAAATATATCGCAGATCGATTACAAATGCACTTTAAGGAGAGCTTCTAATAAAGCATGTTACGAACTATTTGTTTTGTATGAACTGCGCTAATCTCTGTGTAAATAGGGATTTAGACATGTACCACTTCGATACGGAGGTTGTTTCCTTTCAACAAATGGCCCGGCCCTCGAGCCTGTCTCCTCGGTGTGACTGATAGATATACACTGTTGTATGCCTTACACTAAGATCGCTACGACCTTCCCTGACTCCGCTATTTGTATAATGGAACCCCCACCACGAAATGATTCACTTATTGTAGGACCCTCCCACACCCAATGTCTGTGTTTATTCTAGAAAGGATATATTTCATTATATTTAATATACCTTTTTTTTTTACTTCTCTATTTATTTTTTACTTATATATCGGTATGTTGTCTACTTTTAATAGTTGTTTGACGCTGGTAGACTATTTTTTAAGGAAAAGTGGTGTGGGGGGTTAAATAATAATAATGATAAATAAATACAAATACTGATGCTCGATTGGTATTCTTGTTCGTATGAAAAAAGGCGATTTACCTTTATAAAACAAAAATCATTATCTAGAGTAATTGATGAAAACTCGCTTTTCTGCGAGTTTGAATGAAATGCACTTAATGTATTTATTTCATAATAAAACGAATTAGATTATTTGTAGCATTCATTTTTGAAAAGACAAACGTGACAGGATTCAGATAAGAGGAATATGAAAATCTATGTTAGATATTTCTTAACTACAATTAAGTAAATTAAGTTACTTTGATATTTACATAAATGATATGATATCACTTGATTGCTTATATGAAACAAAGCAAAACATGGCGTGCAACCTATAAAACGCCACCTCTAGACAGCTTCGGTATCACAAATGAACAAAGGGTCGTAACGCTGTATATACTTACTTGGGCATGAGACCCCATTTCAGTATGCGACATTCGACCATCCCAAAAAATATGCGCATACAAAATTTATCAAATTCAGGGGACAGACAAAATGAATGATGCGGCGGACAATGTGTAAACCGATGAACAAAGGGCCATAACTCTGTATATTAGTGGGGTTTAGAGCTGACTCGGTACGCGGAACTTCGCAATCCGAAGAGGTACTCATAAAAAAAATTGACAAATGTAAATGACAGATGAGATTTGCTCCAGCAAAGTGATGTACAGACGGACGGAGTTTATCCCATCGTGTCTCCGTTAGTGTCGACGGGGAACTAAATGTACACAACATACCATCAAGACTTTTGTCTCGAGATCCCGGTAAGTATTTGAACGAAATGGAATAATATAGTTTGGTTTTAAACGATTATCGGTAAACAAACTAGGATTCATATATGGAAAATGTCACATATATTCAGTCACACAAATCTTTGGTCTTTTAACTCTACAGGGATATCAATAGCCGTCCGGGAAACACTGCAAAATCCAGTATAAATCAGGAATACACTGCGGAAACGTCCCTGTCCCCGGCACGTTGTTATGTAAGTGAGTCACTCACATAATTTACCATTCTGTTATAAAGGATAGTTTAGAATGATTTGTTTAAGTGGGGCTTGTGTTTTCCTATGCGACTTGATGAGTTATGTCAATAGGAGGTAAAGGTTGTGAAAAGATAGTTCGTCAATGCTCTCAAACTCCAAACTGGGATACACAATGAGTGAGATTGACTTTAAATGGTGTACGTCGGTTGACTGGGCCAAGTCCATGTACATATGTATACGTTTTATATATAAAAACACCTATCAAAACATGAAACAACATCGGTAAGACAGAGGATGAGTGTCTAAAAGGCTCTTTTTTGGGCCCCGGTATATCCGGATTTTCACCTCCTTAATTTGTTCAAAGATGTCTTATTGTATCACATGCGAAAAAACTAAGGTAAACGTTTGACCTAAAGTGGATTTCTTGGGTACCGAAAGGGGTAGGGGTGAATCACAATTATAATTTGCTGCTTTCAAAATGAGATAAAACACCATAATACCATTTATGTTTTTGGAAACTTTCAGCATGTACATATAAAAGAAAGCGTAATTTTTTATATCTCCTTTTTTCATGTCACATCCTTTCATTTCATATGGAACAGAAATTGTTTAGGTACATGTAAAGGATACATCAGGTTAAAAGTAGCATTATCATTGGTACTACTTATGTTGTAGTGCATGTTTTAGAACAATACAATACAAAATAAAGGGGTCGAACTCCGGGCCTTTCTTCGAAAAAACCTACACTATCGATGTTGATATCCACGAATTGATAGTGCGCAGCATCAAAATGAAATATTTTTAATTTGGAAAGGGAAGTAACTCGTTCACGTAAAATTGTCATCTATATATAGGGGAGATTACTAAAAGCAAAAGAAAAGCTCTGAAATAAAATTATTTGCGATTTTCACTGTTGCAGTGTTATCCTTTTCCTAAGACACAAGAAATAAGCCAGTGAAATAAGAAACGGTATTACTTGTGGACATGGCAATTATGAAATTGTCTTTATAGAGATGTCAGAAATTCACAATGAGTGTTTTAATCATTTGACGACGGAAAACCGAGGGGTTTAGTATCTTACCCCGAAGGTTGAGATTTACTCCTATCGTTTCAAAAATGTTAAATGTTATCTATTCTTTCTATTACAATTTTGATAATTAACAAAATGGAGTTAGATAACACGATAAACAGTAGCAATTCGTTTACAACTTCAAATTGTTGGATTCTCAAATGTAAAATACATCAGAAT